TCTGAGGCAAATAGCGGCTCGAATGGATGTGTTCTGTTCTGTATATGCCAGGAGCATCCAGTAAATCAGTCTCACCACTGGATCTATTTTTTCCAACTCCACTGGTAAGGAAGCTTCTAAGGAAGGGAATTCCAGATGACCCGCCCTTGGGCTTTATTTCCACTCTTGACAAAAATGAAACACATGGTCTGTATTTGTTCATATTGCCATGAAAATGATTACCATTTGTACATATTTCAGTAGCAAGGAAAGCCCACGGCAGTCTGACTCCGGATGGTATTTTTAGTGTGGGTCGCGATGTGTTTAGGCTGAAGGAAACGATGGTCAAAGTTGTCATCCAGAAATCATGTGGACTGATTTCTGCTTGTGTCATTTGGACTCAATTGGTTGCATTTCCCCTATCTTTGGGATATGATGTATAGAACCGATCACACAAGAGATTATTATTTTGCGCCTTTGGGAAAAAAAAATGCAAATTTTCAGTCTCTCTGAGTCCCGAGGGTCCCAAGTTTTGGAGCATGCTTTCCTGCTGGGCTGAGATTGTTTCCCTTATTTGACCTGAAAGCATCTGGGCGAGACTCACACTATGGATCTGTCTTTCTTCTTTGATCTCCTCTCAGTGGCAGCCATTTCCCCAAAGCCAGAGTGTATACATCTGCAACAAATGTTCCGTGCCGTTTATATGGTTCCGGGATTTGTGGATGATTTTTTTTTTTTTTTAAACATAGATGAAGGCTTCTCCTGCCTTTCACCAGTTCTTGGTGAAAGGGTGCAAACAAGGTCGTGTTTTCGGCACGTTCCCCGTTTTGCATGCGTGCGTTTGCGTGACTGCGTCAGGCATTCAGCACATGTCTTGCATTCAGCCCGTCAGCTGGAGTCTCTGTCTGTTCTGCAGATTGTCAGCTGCGGGCTCCTGCGGATGACAGCTGTTTCGACGCTGCATTCACGCCGCGCCTCGCTCCCTCAGACCTTTGCCCTCTTTTGGAACAATTCATTTGCCACTTACTCTCCATGCTGATTGCCATCCGATGTGGAGATGAGCTTGGGGAACTGGAATGACCCAGCTCGTGTTCTCAACGGATGGAGATCCTTTATTGAAGTTTGTTCCGGCGAGTCCATTGGGAGCAGCTCGCATGTCCAGATCTCCCAAGTGAAAAAAAAAGGGCACAAGGACGAACTAAGAGTGAACACCCACATGCACAGTAAGTCGAAAACGCCCATTTTGACCTCATTATTCACCAATTCATGCAGTGGCCCTTTTCTTTCTCAAACTGTAGTGGGGAGCTACATTCCGCAGCAGGTGTTCCTAACAGGGAATTGCAGTCCTGCCACTGCCCCTCCCCAGCGATTGGTACTGGTGATTCTGCGCACAACGAAAGCAACAGCTCGAAAACAACGGACCTTTTAATCGTCTGCTTCTTGTACGCAGTGTGCAGCACATGAGTGGCATCGAGGACTGCTTCCAAGAGTGACATCAAATGGCATTAAGTCATCGCATTTGCCGTCGGGAGTGCCAGGCTAGAGATGGGGGGTCGGGGGGGGCATTGGGTTTTTTGGTTTCAGCACTCCTGATCTCTGAATGTACCTTTCTCACGAAGACGGCGGCCATTTTTTTCTTCAAAATTGCTTCTCTTATTTATTTTTTCTCATTGTCCCCTTTAAAATTCGAATATGACTTAACCGTATGCTCAGCGCAGCCAATTTAATGCTTGAATGTGCCTAAATGATATTTTTCACAGTGTACCTTGGGAGGCAATTTGCACACGCAGAGCGCGCGAAAACAAACTGCATATCCTGAGTCACTTAGCAGCATGACGGGGCATCGTTTGCGCTGCTTTGTCTCTGTCTTTTGAATAATGTGGCAGCAAAACACGCAACCGGAAACTGACCACAAAAGAAAATAGTTGATCTCGCATTTGCAGTCATTGGGCCAAAGAAATCATGAAATACATAAATGGATGTCGAGTAAGGTCACGGTGATCTGGTTTGCAGACACTTGCGTTTGTTCTGTAAACACTTGTGCTTTTGGAAATCTGGTCACGCAAAATAGACAATGTGGTATTGTTGTCATGTTGTTGTTGTTCACAGATGTTCACGTGCCAACGTTTAACATGGAAACCATTCGGCTTTCAAATGTGCCGTGTCACTTCTTGCAACCCTCGCTGCTCCAAACTCAGCCGCTTATTTTGAACGCGCCTGCAGAATGTTCTGGGCGGCGATGTCTGAACGCCTCAGGAAATTGCTCCCACATCCGAGACAAACTCAAAGCCCGCGGTTCACTTTTTTGGTGACATTAAAACGTCCTGACTAAACAACACAATATGAGAAGGGAGTCAATCTTGTAATTCAAGATCTTGTGCAAAAGTCTTTGGTATTCGTAAGCAACTTTTCCCAAGTTCATTTTTTTTTCCTTTTTTTTTTAATATTCCCATTTCATAATCAACTTGAACTTTGTTTCTGTTTTTTTTTCCTTTGTGACAAGTAACTCAAGGCTTTTTGAAGGTAAAGAATTTTCACTTCCAGAAGACAAAACTCAACTTCCAGCAAATTAAGGTTTCCCTGAGGGCTTCAGACGTCATGCGGTCCTTGGCTGCGTCCCGATTGACAGGCCGGGTCCTCGGCCGCATGACGTCATTTCCGGCGCGGCGCGGCCGCACAAGGTGCCCCAATTCACATTAAGCCCACAATTCGCCATGTGAGCCATATGAGGAGGAGCCTCTGAAGGCAGAAAAAGGTCTTGTCTTGCTATAGAATTTGGAAACCAGGCGCGATTGGAGGTGGCGGCGCAAATGCGGCCTGCGCACGGACTCAGCCTGTAGATTTGGACACAGACGTTGACGTCAAATGATTTGAATTCAAGTGTCAAAAATGAGAGCTAGTGTTACGATGATCATAAGTAATTATTGAAGCCGTATGAATGGAGGCACTCTGCATAAAGCACTTCGCTGTTGTGAAATTCTGCAGTCCGTGCTTCAGACCGTCGCCTGATACGGACTGCTCTCCGAGTCGATGACTCTCAGCGACATGACATCAACCGGGCCGCCACAGTACACAATGTGTGTTTGTGCCTCCGAATGGTAGCTTTTATCACATTACAGCTCGTTTGAGTCGAGCGAACGGCAGGACATCGTTTCTCCCGCGTGTTTGGGTGAGGTGTGAGCATCACGCGTAGAAATTGGTTAAAGGTGCGAGGTCAAGCCTGCGCGCGCGATTCGAGGAATGGAGGACCTGCTGGCATCGAGCAGCCAGCTTGTTTGGAGCGTGGCGCACGAGACCTTGCGGAGGTGGTACGACCGTGCGCTGTTGCCGTGCCAACACCTCCTTGGGGCCCGCTTTAGGATTGCACGTGGCTCCCAGGTATGGCGGCTTCTTGGCTCATGGCTGATATTCATCTGTGTCATCAAGTCTGCCATGCTGCCATTGTTTGCCGATCCAGTTTCCTTGTAATGCACCGGGCTCTTTGTGCCGTGAGTCGCGTCCGTAGACTTACAGTAGTTTTTTTTACTTTTTTGCTGAGGCAAAACCCATAAAGTGGTACAATAAAAACACTCTTCACGGCTGCACGATGGTCCCGGTGAAGTCGGTGTAACGGGATCCTCAGAAAAGGGAATTAAACGAGGATCCTGAACCACACTGACGATAAGGCTGAACTTTCTGAACTCCTTGGCACAAGCGGTTGTTGTTGTTGTTGTTATTGTTGTTGTTCACTGGAGACTTGGCTTTTGTTCAGGTCCGCTCCTCAGCATCTTTTCAGCACCTCAGCAAGACGATGAAGCAAAACAAGGACTGTAATTGTGATAATGGAACTCTAACATAGGTCACGTAACTTCTCATTTTGACTTGTAAAGACTCCGTTAGTATCATTCAATGTCTAATTTCTAAATTAAGCATCGAGAGGAAATAGGCGTATTAAATGTGTTGGGGAGATTCATGTCAAGGTTTAAAGAAAAACAGCTAGGCAGGTGCACTTTGTTGCTTTTTCTTTTGTTTTTACACAAATACAAGCCACATAAAAATACTTGCTTTTGTTGTCATGTACACACTAATTGTTGTCATCAACTTTGATTATTTTTCCTAACAAGAACATTTCTTATCCTTGTAGCTACTGAAAGCAGATAGAATTGCAATAGTGTGTGGAAAAGTGACCTGGCCCGCACAGTTGCAATATTATCAACGACCACTGGGGGGTACTAATGTCCCATTTATACAATTCGCTGTGTTTTCCAAATTCAGATGTTAGGGTAGTTGCTTTTATTCCGGTATCACTCATTGTTTAAGATGCTTCACACTGGCCAGCATTCGTGTTATATATTTCCGATATTACAGTATTGTCTATCCTAAACAGAGCATGCAAGTGTGATATGCTGTCGATAAAGTTTATCGTGAGCTCAGAACTGTATTTTCCCTCCCAGTACAACTGGATTTACCTTGGATTGCAGACCAGTTTTGCTGGCTGCAACAGATTTCATCTTGAAACAATTCATCTTGAACAATACAGCACGTTACTTTCGTTAAACTTTGGGAGAGGAAGCCATCTTCCTCTGGTTTTCTTAAAGAGGAGCACATGATGGTTCATGTGCCGGTGCGGATACAGAGGAAGTACAGAGTATGTAGAAGTATGACAATCGAGTGTGCAGAACCATATGGGTAAAAGTTACTCTTTGTTAAAATGACACATTTATCGTGTTGTGGTTTGGGCCCATCGTTGAAGCACTCAAATTAATATGGTCGATATTGCATTACTTATCTTGTTTTGCTGGTGTGAGGGTGCCCAGTGGCTCAAGTTACCTATTCATTCACAACAAAGGCAAACATGACATTGAAGTGAATTACTGTTCATTCTCAGAAAAAGACAAAACAGCTATTTCCCTCCCAGCTGTAAGTGGAAGCATGGCGTTTTGTACTGTTCGTGGCTATGGGTGGTGCTGGAGACTTGTTTTGCAATGAAGGCATCAAATTGCAAAACCTTGCCCTGTCTCATGTTTTCTTTCTTCCTTCAGATGACTGAGGGGCGTCAGTGCCAGGTACACCTACTTGACGGTCGAAAGCTGGAGCTGCTGGTCCAGGTACAGAACTGTTTTTGTTGTTTAGAAAAAATAACCACATCCCCTAATTGCTAGCAACGCCACTGATAATTATACATCATGACATTGAAGCATCTTAAATCGTGACAGCTATAATACATAATAACCTAAGATGACAAGTATTTTTCCTTTTTCTTTTTTTTCTTTTTTCTTTTTTTTTTATACAAGCCAAAGCTTTTATCTCGAGACCTGCTAGATTAGTACATAATAACCTAAGATGACAAGTATTTTTTCTTTGTCTTTTTTTTTCTTTTTTCTTTTTTTTTAATACAAGCCAAAGCTTTTATCTCGAGACCTGCTAGATTTGGTGGCATCCCATTTCAACCTGAAGGAAAAGGAATACTTTGGCCTTTGCTTCATCGATGACACGTAAGTACATTGTAGAACAAACTAACGTTTTTCTTTTTATTTCAATCCAGGTTTTTAATTATTCGCTTAAAAGTGCCTGATGTGATATTTATTCTCTGAATCACCTTTAGTGGCCAGAACAACTGGCTTCAGCTTGATCGAAAAGTCCTTGATCATGACTTCTCTAAGACTTCAGATACACTGGAAATCAAATTCTTTGTGAGGTGAGCAGGCTATTTTTGTTGACCCTTTTTATGGCATGTTGACAGCACCCCTAAGTGAAGACGGATGTTGACCAGCAGGTGGCAGTCAAGTAACTGTGTCAACCGCTCAAGTTGCATGGAATGCGTGGAAATGATAACTTCGCATGACACTTGACATAACGCCAAAGAATCTCTTCACAGATTTTACATTGAGAAGATCACCTTTTTAAAAGAAAACACCACTGTGGAGCTGTTCTTCCTGAATGCAAAATCTTTGGTGTTTAATGTAAGTGTTACGAGTTGCATGTGAAGAAAATATTCTATTGTACCTTTAGACTGTGCGTATGTGTTTACCGTCTGATAAAGATTAAAACCAACTAACGCTTTAAAGTATGTAAAGGAATACTTTCTATGTTTAATGTGTGTGATTTAACTTTACAAAAGAATAACAACGCAGAATACATCGAGTTAAATTTGCTGAATTTCTCCCGCGTTTTGAGTATTATTTAACGAAGGAGGAGTAGTCTAAATAAATCCGAGGGGTACTTGAATGCAACAAACGGTCAAACTTTGTACTCCATTGGGGTGGGGGAGTATACTGGTCGCTAAGGGAGACGGAGACTGTTGAACCTGCTCGGACTGTACCATTTCGCCGAGGGTGTTCAGTCTTCGCGCTACCCGCCAAACTACAATTAACATGCACCCGAATGTGTTAACTTTATCAATAAAAACCACCGCGTGACGTGTAGGCAAATCAACCTTTAATACCTGCACATGGACAGTTTTAAGTATACTATTGTATCTGTGTGATTAGTGGTTCAGTCGGTAGCCAGAGGACCGAGGTACCGTTAAAGCGAGTGTTTGGCTCAACTGCACTTTGCGGTCGCGTGTAGAAACGAACTCGTTCGCCACTAACCATCGTTTCTTCAACAATAAAACAGGAGGGCATCGAAGTGGAGAGCGAGCACGTTTTCAAGTTAGCCGCATTTGCATTACAGGTAAGGAAGAACCGCTGCTTCGACTGAACCTTGAGTTTCAACTAACAGTGTGCAAGGCGGCCCGAGCGACATTTGAAATTTGTCACTAATTTATGTTGCAAAAACACTAGCACTGTTGTTATCCATTTAAAGTACTGCACACTACATTGGAAAAAACAACATCTCACATATTTGTCCAATTAAAATCAAGCTAACTAGTGTTTGGAAACGGAGTAGCCACCATCTGCCTTGAATAAGCGCAGGCGTTTGTTATAATGCTGTTACTTACTCGATTGTTTTTTTCATCGTTTGTTTTTTTAGGAGGTCAACGGTGATTACACATGGTAAGACCATTTTATACTTCAGTCAAATACCTCTGTAAAGGCACGCGGGATGAGTTTCTATGTGTACGAGAATTCTACAAATGCAGCGTTTTGTACAACAACAAACATTGGACATTTGTAAACCTGGTACATCAATCGACTCTCACGGTACACATTAAGGTGCACTTATATCATGGAGAGCAAATACAAAAGTATCGATAATCGAAAGATGATAATGCACTTATGTAACATATTACAAAATACGTATTACTTTGCATAATTTGATGCGGAGCTACATTAGAACCACAAAAATAAGCAAATATGTAAATGAAACAATGTGGGATACTTCTTTTGTGTGTGTGTGTGTGTGTGTGTGTGTGTGTGTGTGTGTGTGTGTGTGTGTGTGTGTGTGTGTGTGTGTGTGTATTATTTCCCTATTTACCTATACCAAGTGTCTGGGTCAGTTACATACACTGTATCAACAAAGTTACATTGGATAGTACAGCACACAATAGTTGGCGAGTAAGTGTACACCCAAATGTGTCTTACTTTTGATTGGTCACGGTGTAATGACTCTTTTACAGTAGATAATGTTCAACCAGCTTGGATCAGCTTGATACTTCCCCTAGTTAATGATTCCCTTGAGTTAGTTTTGTGGCATAGAATTGGCCTTCGAGTATCCATATGAATCTAAAAGGATTTGTATTGTCTAAATGCAGAAGTGCATGTGTTGCAATCGCACAATATTGTAACTCTTGCTGTGTCTAGAGATGCGTATTCACATGTGCTTGGATATGAGAGGGAGAGAGACCGTTTCGGGATTGCCTCCCTCCATAATCTGTCCGCCAGTGGAGATAAGCTTAGTAGGCCTCAGAGGCTTGACCTGCTGATAAGGTATGTTGTTTTATTTTGCCCGGCATAGCAATGGTGGAAGGCATTCATTGGCTGTGACGGGTAAATACTGCTCAGCAGTGTGTGGCTGATCCGCACAACTCGTGTATTGTCCAAATGATTTGCCTCTAAAATGGCCCCTGTCGTTGTCGGTCACACAAATAGCTGTGTTCTGTAAGAAATAAGGCGTGGGTGATTGCACATTGCAATACACTGTCTCCTGATTTGGGTTTTTTTTTCACCATAGTACAATTCTTATCCTTATACATCAAACCTTTGCGACATCTGTTGGTGCACTGTAACTACCACCACGATGCTCTTCTCTAATACAGGTAAGAACATGATGAGACCAAAGTTGTCTCAGCAGGACGTCGAATTAAAAAACAAGGTTCATCCCTCCCTGTCGCACGCCGGTATTCCTCTTCGCTGTTAATGAACCCCTTTGTTTTGTGTTGCTTTTCATGACGAGGCTCAGCAAATCCCTTAAGTCGAAACGGGCCTCCTCGACGCTGTATCAGCAAAGAGCCCTGTAGCGGCGAGATTAGCCGCAAACCTCCTCCAAAAGGGATGAGACAAGTCCACTGTCCAATGGTAGACGGCCTCAGTCGAATTGTGGCAGAGCGGGCCAACCCCCCCTGCTGAGAGTTGAATGAATGCTCCATCAGGTTGATTGCATTCAAATGAGTTTTGGTACTTGGTTGCAAACGGTCCGTGCTGTTATTTTTAGATCAAACGGAACGCAAAAGCAACTATTGGTGAGTCGGCCTTCACCTCGCCTTACCACTTTGTTTTTGTTGTTGTTTGGCTTCAGTGGC